TTACTATGGGAGTTGGTACTCCTTACTTCTACACTCCGTATTCTACGCTCCATATAATTATCTTTTATGAGTCCATTTTTATTTATCTATGTTCTGAGTTCTTCTGATTCTGACTGGAGTTTTGGCGGGAACTTGGTCGTCGACGGATTGTCGCTCCTGTTTTGTCACTTCAATAATGGTTTGAAATGGATTTTGATTCGTAAAAGTGATGCGATTTTGTGAATTAAGTGTCTGCGCGTGTGAAATATTAAAGAAAACGGCGAAACAAGTGCTTTGATGCTGATATAAAGCTCAAATTATTTTGATCGCTTGGGTGCCGTATGAACTTGAGTGGCTGTCGTTATCAACTGTCCGCTGCTTTGACGACAGCCCAACCGGCTGGCGTCAAAATCTTCCAAAAACTTCGCAATGTGACGCATCAGCATATTGTTAATAATGTTTTTATTTTTTTTTTTTTTTTTTTTTTTTTTGCTGTAACAGTTTAAGTACTTAGAATATATGTGACCAGTGTCTCCTTTTAAGCTTGAATCAGCCTGTGCCAGGGGACACTGCTCTTCCTTAAAATAGGTCATTTCTTACAAGAAAACTTAATAAATAATAATTACGAAACAAAATAAAAATATATAAGTAACAATAATATATGTGGTCTAACAAAAATGACTTAATATACTTATTTATTTACATTTATAAATCAGCCAAAGCAACTTAAGCAACATAAGCCTGAATGCGCGCGCGCGTGTGTGTGTATGTGAGTGATGTGTGTGTGTGTGTGTGTGTGTGTGTGTGTGAGTGTGTGAGTGTGTGAGTGTGTGTGTGTGCGTGTGTGCGTGTGTGTGTGTGTGTGTGTGTGTGTGTGTGTGTGTGTGTTTGTTTGTGTGTGTGTGTGTGTGTGAAACTGAGTGGTGTGTTTGTGTGTAAAATTCTAAAATAATATAATGTAATTTAATTATTGCTTCATTACTCTAGAAGAGCCTCAGTGTCATCGTAAGACTTAGGGAGTAGCCATATCTTAAGAAGTCTTCTACATTCAAAAAAGACTTTATCATATATTCCCAATACCTTGTTTGCTGTATTATATAAATGTCCTGACCGTTTGGTATATTGTCTTTTAGCAAAGGCAGTGTTGCTTCGAGGAGCTCGTACAACAATGTCATGTCTTCTCCTATTCTTGATATCAGGATTGTAAGGCAAGGATAAATGTTTTCTTAAAACTGCCTGCATTATGTATAATTTCCTAACAGAAAGAATACCAGTGTTTTGGTAAAGACGCTCGGTCGAGAACCCCAAATTTTGAAAACACATGGTCTTAATTAGTCTTCGCTGGGCCCGCTCTACCTCAATAAAACGGGTTTTGGCAGCACCACCCCAGATAGATATACAATATATCAAGATAGATTGCACCAGCGAGTAATATATTTTAATAAGGAGACCTTTTTCAGAGCTAGTTTGGTTGTCAACCATCCTGGGCACCACGTATCTCAGCATCCTGAAGATCCAGATTAATTTTCTGAGTCTTGAGGAAATATATTCCAGCTGCGGATACCATGACAACCTCTGATCTACATAGACGCCTAGGTATTTTACTTGGTCAACTTTCTGAATTTCAGGACAACTACAAGTTTTTACATTTGGGCTAGTATTGCATTTATGTATTTTTATAGAGAAGTCTTTTGGTGGTTGTGTATTGTTATAAATACTAAAGCAAATATAATTAGTTTTGGTGGTATTTAAAGAAAGGAGGTTATTGCTTAGCCACTTGTTTATCTGTTTCAAGCCACTCTCAGCCTGTTTCCTTACGTTTTCCCATGAGTCTGCACTGAAGACTACGGCTGTGTCATCAGCGTATGAAAGGATTTGAGCATTTTTTGTTTTCATATCACAAAGGTCATTAATGTAAATGAGAAAAAGAGTAGGCCCAAGGACACTACCTTGAGGTACACCATATGTCACTTCCGAGTCTCCACTAATGAAGGAATCAAGTTTTACCCTCTGTTTCCTATTAGACAGGTAGTCCTTGAGCAAATTAAGTGGTGTTCCCTTCATACCAATTGCTTCCAGTTTACGCAACAGGATAGGGATAGAGACAGTGTCAAACGCTTTTTGTAAGTCAAGGAATACTGCCATGCATTTTTTGTGACTATCAAGTTTCTCAACCACCAGCGAGCTCAACGCAGAGACTGCGTCTTCAGTCGATCTTCCCTGTCTAAAACCATACTGAGAGGGAGATAAAATATTGTATCTGTTCAGATAGTTAAGTAACCGCGAATTGAGCAACTTTTCCATTATCTTAGAAATGGCGGGCAAGACAGAGATCGGTCTATAATTAGTTACACTGTCTCTATCCCCTGATTTGTGAACTGGAGTAATGATAGCCTGTTTAAATAGCGATGGAAAGGTCCCCTTGTGAAAACAAAGATTTATGAAATGAGTTAAGATCGGTACAATTTGAAGTCTCACACGCTTGAGAAATATGGTAGGAATGTTATCCCAGCCAGGGGCACTGCTCGTTTTTAGTGACAGTAGTGTACTAGACACCTCATCCTGATCAGTGTCAAGCAAAACAAAAGAGTTTGACTGAGTTGGTAAGTTACGCAAATAATCATTCAATTCCTCTTGAGACAGCTGTACCTGTTGAGACAGTTGTCTCCCTATATTTGCAAAAAAGTGATTTACGTAATCCGCAGATGCAGCTGGAGAGGGCATGACGTTTAGTAGATCTATATTATTGTTATTATTACTCATACTGGTAAAGGTAATATTTTTAATATTTTTCCATAATTTTTTATTATTATTAATAGATTTATTCAATAATTCTCTTTCATATTGTCTTTTTAGTTTTTTAATAAGATTGTTACAATAATTTCGATATCTAATATATATAATTTTATTAAGTTCATTGTAGGGGTCGTCTTTTACTTTCTTTTGCAATTTATTTCGATTTCGGATACAGCGCAGAATTCCAGGCGTGATCCATGGCTTAATGTTACGATTTTTTTTTAGGTATAGTTGTAACGACAGTATTGTTTTTAATTATCTCCTTTAGACTATACACTAGACCATTTATCACAGCATCCGGGTCATTGCAGTAGAGCAATTCTGTGAGGTTTTTAGTTTCAAGGTCTAGCGCAGCAGCTTCATAATTTACAATTGTTCTAGTTTTGCTTGCTATTTGATGGTATTTTATTTTTGATATCGAAAGAAATGTGGTAAAGTGGTCCGTAGTACTAGTATGTAATACAGCTATTGTTGCATGGAATTTGGTTAAGAAACAATATATAAAAACGAAGATTCCGAAAGAAATGATAGGCTCAGAAGAGCTAGAACCCAGAGCCGTAAACCCAGTGATATTACCTCTACTCTATGGTAAAGTTGTTCAAAACGACTATAAATCAATAGCACGCTACAGACTATAAACTAGAAATTTCTAGCGCGCTATTAAATACGCTATGTTATAGCGCGCTATTTATAAAAAAGTCTGTAGGAGGCCGCAAGCGCTTTAAGTTTAGCAGCACGCTATATCTCGGAGCACGCTACAATACATGTCGTTCATTGGATAGACCGCGTGCTATATAAGAACATTGTTTCGTAATAAGTCGCATTTTAGATTAAAATAAAATAAAGTGGTAAAGAAAAATTAAAGAACGCTCTTTCATACTTTTCAGGCTTACGACTTGTTATAATCCTAAAAATATTTTTAACGACTGTACTTTTTAAAACAAAATAAAATTAATCATTTTTAATATAATTGATGTAAACATTATTTTAACCTTAATATAAATTATAAATAAAGGTGTAATTGAAAGTTTATTGATTGTTATACAAACATCAACTATTTACATACACTATTATATACACTTTTGTATCTGTATTTTATTTACATTCAAAAACATTAGTTAGGCTTATTTTGTAGCAGACAACTGTGTCCTTCGATCACTTATAAATAAATATACAGTATTGTTGTGAATTCAGTGGATTTGGGTTCTTTGTTGACAAATGATGAAGTCCAAAGTTGACAAATGATCGTTTATTTAGCAGAGTTTCAAAAGGTACCTGTCAATATACAATTGAATCAGTATCTAACTTTCACAATTTTAATAAAGAGAAATATTCAATACTTTATACAAAAGCAATTTGTTCGTTTATTTACAATTATTACATGTTCTGTGAAAGAAATGTATTAACAAAGTTTAGCACGTGGCGACTAATTTTGAGTGCAAAATTACAGCTTAAATTGATACAAAATGAACATACCTTTTGAACGCTTTGATAATACTTGTTTTGTTGAACAAAACTCTTGACAAACAATCAACGGATTGTTGTTCAATACTTTACAATTTTCAGAATTACAATTTGGAGCACGTTTGCCTTTCGCGATCAAGTTTCGCTTTTTCCATAGAATAGAGTAATATATGGCTTTGTCGTATGAAGTTATCAAAAAGGAGGCTTGCCAACTTAATTACACAAAATATAATAAATAAATACATTACTGCCAACTTAGACTCTATATAAAACGAAAATAAAGTGTGAAGGAGGATAGGATCAAAGTTGGTCTAGGTCAGGTCAGCTGTCAATTGATCAATTCTCAACTACACATTCTTAACACTAACTAACCAACAGCGCTGCTGTTAAAACCTGTATATACTTATTATACTCTTTGGCTAGAACTAAACTAATTGCCGCTTGATATGAATAGCGCCAAAGCGTCATAGCGTCGTAGCGCCATGGCGACTACTTATATAGTACGCGCTATGCGTTATGAAGAGATAGCGCGCTATAATATGGCGCTATGCGCTATAACCACCATTACTCTATGGTTCTGACTTATAAATGGTTCTGAGTTCTGACATAGAGTAATATTGGGTTCTGATTACGAATTTAAATTAAGTTTTAATGTAAAAAAATATGTACTGAATTAAGAATAAGGGTCAATTTTTATTCGTTTAAATGCGAAATTGTTTATTTTATAATTGGTCTGCATATTAAGTTAAATATTTAACAAGATGGTGAGTTAACATCATTATATCTTATAGGTATATTATAATTAACTAACTCCTGATATTATATTTCAAGAGCTTTGCAGCTACAGAACACCTAGTGACGAGACTGAAAATGCTACAATTAATTTAAATCAAATAATTAGACCGTGTTGTGCAAAAATGATTTAACCCACAAACTGACCGAACTTACATAGAGGTTTATTTTTCAGTCTATTTCCAAGTATGCAAGACTTATGAATATATACAAGTAATCCCAAGATCTACATTTAATTTTATTTAAAATGATGTACGTAAAATGTTATATTAAGGCTTCTGCCAAAAAAAAATAATTTATCTTTCAAATCTTTGTTACTTTGTTTTGTAGATTGCAACATTTCTGCATAGCCCAATATTAATATTTAATCCAATCCTGCATACCACCCATCATACATGACTAAGATATTGTAGGCTCTTTCTCTGTAGATCGAACAAAACTATTTATATGTGAAAATTAAACAATAATTACTAAAAATTAATATTTATTATTGGTTGAAATCTTGGAATGTTCACGCCATTCACCTATCTGAACTTTATTATAATCTAAGTCATACTTGCTGTTCGATTTATAATTGTTAAAGATACTTTCACCATATTAATAATCAGTTTGGATTGCATAAACATTGTGAATTATTCTACCAATAGCAATCCATTATGATTTCATATGTCGTCATTATAACAGCCAATGAACATACAATTTTTACCTTTACCTTTCGACCCTCAAACTGTTAGAATATCCTTAAATATAATATTAACTATTGTACATTGTAAAAAATTTATTCAACTAAGTTTTCTTGATATTCTATGTATCATTTCTTTGTACACAATTGTATAGGAATGTTTATACATTCTACAACCAATTTTGAGGGATTGGGCGAGGAAAGGTTGATGTGAACACTTAGTAAAGTTTTAAAAAGAATTTAAATAAAACTTTATTTTTTAGAATTATTCACTGTATAGCATTTCCTAGTATTATTTTTTTATAGCATAAGGGTGACAACACAAAGTCTACCTGATGGTAACTGGATGCTGTTGTGGCCCATAGACATCTTCAATCAAGAATCTAAATGCAGATGTATTGTCACCCCTTAGGACTAAGATGAAATGCCTCATTTCCAGTAAAAAAAGGGTTCAAGAATCTACATTCACTATACAAAACATTCACAGGTAACTAAGGTACTAATTTACACTGTTTTTTTTTATATAGAGGAGGGGGCAAACGAGCATGTGGCTCACCTGATGTTAAGTGACTACCACCACCCATGATCAAACGCAACACCAGGGGAATTGCAGGTGCATTGCCGGCCCTTTAGAAAGGAGTAATCTCTTTAATTGAAGGTCCCCAGGTTGTTGAAAAAATCGCCATTGATAAACTATTCCACAGACAGGTTGTATGCAAAAGAAAACTCCTTGTGAAACATACAGTGGTGGACCGCCAAGCATCCAGATGGTGTGGATGGTATCGGGATGTTTGTTTTGGTGGCTGGGATTAATCTGAACAATTCTTCAGAGCACTCTGTGGTATATGCGAAAGTAAATGCAAAGAGATGCAACATCTCTTTGCAGCGCCAGTGAATTGAGCCAATCAGAAAGCACTAAGTCGTCGACGATTCGAGCCGCTCTGCACTGGATGAGATCAAGTGGAAGGAGCTGGTACTGGGAAGCTCCAGCCCAGAGATTAGAACAGTATTCCATGTGAGGCCGAACCTGCACCTTGTAAAGTTGCAGGCGGTGTGCTGACATGAAATACTATCCCGCTCTGCTGAGCACATCAAGCTTTTTAGAGGCCAATTCCAAGTGATCACGAAACTGCACGTCACTCGATATGTCGACGCCGAGGATTCCGATACTGGCTGAGGCAACAAGGGGAGTGCCTTGAAATTATTATTATTCTGTGATAGTGTGGTAACTAAATGGAGTGATGACCTGGTACGACATGCAGGAAGTCGATGGATGCAGATGGCTCAGGACCGTGCTTTGTGGCATACCTTGGGGGAGGCCTATGTTCAGCAGTCGACTTTTGAAGGGCTGTAATGATGATAGTGTGGTCCTTCCCAGGTCAAGCCGACCCATTCGTGCTACAACTATAAAATTAATATAGCTGCAGCAATGCTCTACCACATATAAAATTCTGCTGCATTCTGTGTGAAGGGATGTAGGAAAGAAGGGGTGGGGTAACAACGAGGAGGGCAAGCATCCCTATGAAGGATTTAGTTAATAGTGAGAGATTTTATAAATAACATATTTTGGTTTTTAAATTGCTTTCAAGTGATGAGTGGTGTAAAATATAGCATAAACCGGTAAGAACTTAAAAATGCAACAAAAGCTAGTATAAAAATTCATTAAAAGATAGAAAACCAAGTCATAAAAGTCATTAGAAGACAGAAAAAGATCATTATATTTAAGTTTTTACAAGTGGTCTTTAATTTATATATATATATATATATATATATATATATATATATCCGCCCAGGCTTTGCATAGGTGATTTCTGGATCTCGACAACAGCACCACCTACCGGGTCCAAAAGTAAATCTAAACCATCTAGGGATGTAACCCCCTGTGTGTGAAGTTTTCATCATTATTTTATCGACTTCAATGTCGAATATATACTAACATTAATTAAACAAGTATTAAATCTTGTTCCAGATGCAATTTATGCTGCTGTTTAGCCGACAAGGCAAATTACGATTGCAGAAATGGTATGTGGCCCATCCAGACAAGCTAAAGAAGAAAATAACTAGAGAGCTAATTACAACAGTGCTTGCCCGTAAACCTAAAATGTGCTCATTCCTGGAGTGGAAAGATGTTAAAGTTGTTTATAAGAGGTATGTGATGTCAAAAATATATAATAATTTTTTTTCAAAAGTAAGATTTAATCAGTTAATATGGATCAATTTCTTAATTATTAAAACTTGGCTAAATTTATTATCAAACTAGTATACTTACTATCCATTAACAATACTTCTAAAACAAAGACATAAAAACTTCTGTCAAAAAAATTTGATTTATTAATTTATAGTATTATTATTATTTTTGAACTTCTTTATGTTCCACTACTAGCCTAATCAGTTATATGGTATTTGACTCCCATTTATAATGATTTCTATTACTCCACAAATAGAATCATAACATGTGATAATCCAGACCAAGTACCATGTGCACACACAACTAGTATAGAACATATTTCCCACTTAATACATGCTCATTAATTATTTTAAGCATTACTGTTACCATCAGAGTGTAATTGGTGTTACAAATTTTATTAATTAATTACAGCCTGTCAAATGCCCGCTGCTGAACATAAGCCATCGCTATAGAATTCCTCATAGACATTTTTGGGACAGTTCCCATTTTTCACAGGTAAGTTAGCAACATTAAAGAAAAGTTAAAGTTAGAGCCTGTATACGTCCCACTCCTGGACACAGGCCTCCGCTCATTTCTGAGAGGGTTTTAGGGGAAGGAATTGTCCGCTGTGCTGCCCCAATGCATGTGGCGAACTTAACATGTCTTCGAAATATTTATCATTCTTATTTCACAGACATGCAGGTATTCTCACGATGTTTTCCTTCACCGCCGAGCATGTGGTAATTCAGCAATAAAAATTGCAATTTACAATTTCAATAGTGCTGACGAGGATCAAACCCGGTTTGCTCGCATACTGTAAAATTTACAGCAAGCGCTAACCGTCAGAGCTACCACGGCTCCTTTTTATGTTGATATAGGAAAGATGCTGATGCCTATCTTCTGTTTCATTTCCCTCTGTCACCTCTTCAAAATCCACAGAATAATATGGAGTACTGGATATTCTTGCACCACTTATACATTAGCTTACCCTTGACCAACATTTTTATAGTTCATCTAATGATCTGAGTTGACAAAATTTAAAATACTTTTTTTGTTACAGATATGCATCACTTTACTTCTGCTGTGCAATGGAGCAAGAAGACAATGAACTCCTAACACTGGAACTTATTCACAGATATGTGGAGCTACTTGATAAATATTTTGGTAGTGTAAGTATTTTATTAAAAAATTATATAATATAGTAAAATTAGCATTTTTTCCGATGTGGTCACATTTATTATCTGCCGTGATCCTCTTTGAAAGGTGCAATCAGCCATACCAGATTCTGTAATTTGTGTTTTGATAATTTATAAAATAGTGATGCAATATTTTTGCAGTTTCCTAATGAAATCCTTGCATGTACAACAGTAAATACTTTCGAACTTATTATTTATAACAAATAATAACTACAAAGCTAATACTGTCTTAATCGCCGTCACATTCTGAATTTGCTACACTTACTGGATGACCTTTTTTATTATCAGGAAAAAATAAGGTGTAATAAGTGAACAGAGTAGAAGCCTATGGCAATTTTGAAATATTTTTTTTAACAATTACTTTGCCCTTTGCCCTTGAGCCGGTAATCCTCTTTAACTCTCACTCAATTTATTGTTTTATTGCCGTCCGTAAAGTAGGGTAGAAATGATTTGAATTTCGATAGATTTTAATTTATTTATTTATTTTATTCAAAATTTATGTTTTTACTTTTGTAAAATATCAGTAGTTATGTAAAAAAATAGGGTGTAAACTCCGTTCACATGTTACACCCTATTTTTTTGCAGATGGTAAAAAAAGTTATCTGATATAACAAGAATGCCAACATAAGAAAATCTGAATACCTTTGACAAAATTTCTTAAAACTTACCTAGGCTGATTTTCTAGCATAATAGAAAGAAATCATGTCACTGTAATTTTTAAAGTATTTTTTTTTTCATTTTGTTTCGATATGTTCAATTAAACTGATCCCACAATATAGCCTAAAGTTTTTCATTCTTGTTGCAAGTTTGTTAACTGATATAATATTCACTGGTTTGTAGAAACGGCGAATAAGCCATTTTTCTATGATTTTCTTTTTTGTAACAGAACAATTAATTCCTTGGGTCATTTTTAATAGATTTGTAGTAACGGCGAACAGAAAATAAAACAAATGTGTAACGGTGAATATCACCTGTTTGTTACGAAGCAAGGTATGATATGCCATTTTCGCCCTTATTACAATATATTAATTTAATCATCAAACTATTTTGTTATGCAAAACAGCGAATAATGTATATTCGCCCTTTCTACAAAACAGTGATTATCTCGTTCTTCAGCCTGTAAAATTTGACAGCTGAACATGAGCCTTTCCCAATGTAGAGAAGATTTGTCTTTGTTATCATGTTTGGCAAGTGCATTGACAATCATAGTACCAGACGTCCCACACCTTCGATACTACTTCCCGTCGTCGGTCTGGGTGTTTTACGTTCGACGTGAACCAGACGTAAATACCGCCATCTATCTAAAGCTATAAGACTTTTCTGGCATTTCCCACAGTCGACTTTTACGATTAGGTGATGAATTCTCTACGCTGCCACCACACGGCCGATTTTTTTTTATAGAATAAGAGTGACAAACGAGTACACAGTCCACCTGATGGTAAGTGGATGCAGCGGCTTATAGACATCTACATTTATCCTCGATTAAGAATCAAAACACAGATACGTTGTCACCCCTGAGGACTAAGATGGAATGCCTCATTTATAGTAAAAAGGGTCTCCGGATCTCTACACTCACCATATGAAACACAGCAGTATTAAGCTGGTATTTTATGAGAGCGTGTCCTTCCCTGGTCGAGCCAACTCATTCGTGCTACAACCATAATATAGCTGCAGCGTGGCCCTAGCACATATAAATATAATCAAATTTATATTACATAGTGATGTTTTCTGTAAATTATTAAACATATATTTATTTCCCAACATAACTTATCCACAGGTATGCGAACTGGATATTATTTTCAACTTTGAAAAAGCATACTTCATCTTGGATGAGCTAGTTCTTGGCGGTGAGCTGCAAGAGACTAGTAAGAAGAATGTACTGAAGGCGATTGCGGCACAGGACCTACTCCAAGAGGTCAGTAGCCAAGACAATGAACTTGTGTAATGTTGCAGTGTCATTTGTATGTGGTACTTTTATGCTATGAGGATCTTCGCAAGATCATATTTGTCTTGAGTGAATATTGACGTCATGTCGTATGCATTCGCTGTGCATGAATGTTCGAAATTATTTTTATTATAATGCAATAGGTGCATATCGAAGAAAAAGGTAATATATCTATTACAAATTGATTACAAATTATAGTCTGGAAAAGTAATAATGAAACACCATACACCTATCACCGAAAAATATCTATATGAAAAGTAAATAAAATAAAAAGAAAAACTATTCTTTCGTAGGGTTTTTGTGAGATAGCTGTAAACAATTTACATTTTGTATTGAGTTTTATTATGTTTAGATAATCAAAATGTTAAATTTTTTTAGAAGACTTTGATATTAGATTAAGAATATTTGAACAGTTAATACATATTGTGTTCAAAAAAATGCATTTACAAATTTAAATACACACTAAAACTTGTTTTTTGAATATGACAGTGTCCAAGTAACTCTAAAATTAAATTATATATTATTGATGAAAGAAATGTAGTTTCATACCCTATCTAGTCAAACTAGCATTAGATGTTTTTGGTCAATTTACATTTAGATGTTTTAATAATAGTCACGCAAAAAAGAATGTAATGTGGACCAGTATCAAAGAAAAGAAGCCTCGGTAGTGCCTTTGATTATATTAGAGATATATCACTATAATATAAGTAGTGTGCACTGCCCCTTAAAAGATCAATTTTAATTGAATTAATTATTAAAGCACATATCAACTCTCTTTGTAATATCAGTACCTAGAGCTTATTGTGAATTTATGATATTTAAAAAATGAATTAAATGTCTTATTAACAATTATTAAAAATATTTAGACTAACTTTGAAAGCTAAAATGTTTAATGGCATCTAAAAATTTAAGCTAGAAACTGTCAACCAAGCATTCACATCGAAGTTGCTTGAGTAAAATAACTAGTGTTAATTTTCTTTTGGAATATTATTAACAGAATACTTATTTTATAACAGTTACATGATTTCATTCATAAGAATATTTTATACTCATAATCATTGTTTCATTATGAAATTACTACTATAGAGTAAGAATATTTATTTCCTATTATATTCCATGCACCGCACTTTGCTAATAAATATTCTGTTTTTGGTGTGATATGCATGCTGGTGATGGTCAGGACCTGAACGATGGATTGTTGCACTGAGGGAGACAAGGAATGAGTCTGTATATTACTAGCGATAGCGATGCAGAACTTTGGTATTCATAAACGCTTAGCAACTCACAAATACACTAATTAGAAGTAAAGTGTTGATGCCTTACATTCACTCATATATTATTATTAAATACTTCTGATAGATATTGTTGGTGGCTTTATAAACATATTCCGTCTTATAAAAAAAGTGTTTTATTGGTGGTCTTGTGCTTAAACTATGGTTTATAATACTTTAACTAAAGAAGTGTCCATCAGTCATTTTTCGCTAAATTTGATATTTGCTGTCGCATTCCATGTTAAACATTTTAGTTCGGGTATTTTCGCTGGCCTTCATTGAAACATACTGTAGTTTAAACCTGAAACTAATTACAAACTACGTTTGTAATTAGTTTCAGGTTTAAACACACATATATATATATATATATATATATATATATATATATATAGTATATATATATATATATAGTATATAGTATATATATATATATATATATATATATATATATATATATATATATATATATATATATAATCGGAATCTCGGAAACGGCTCCAACGATTTTCATAAAATTTTGTGTGCAGGGAGTTTCGGGGGGCAATAAATGTATCTAGCTAGGACTTATTTTTAGAAAATGTCTTTTTGTCCGTGTTTTTAGGCAATGAAAAACTGCTACAATGTCGTTGCAGAAAAGAAGGTAAATTTTGACAGTTTATTAGCGATTAGAAATAGCTTAATGTATTGGGCGGTCACAAAGTCGTAATACCATGGTTCGAGCCCAGACCAACCGACCGACTTTTATTAATTTGTTTTTTTCAAGTTCCTTTCTTTTTTGAGGAAATCTATTTTTCGAGCCCTTCTTTTAGTATTTTTTAAAAACACGAAATTTAAATTAAACTAATTGCACTCTTGATTTTTTATTCAAATAACCAGTTCAGTTTTTTCTATTATGTCGCTAAGATCAAAAAATATTATTCGTATTTCATCAGTATGTAATTTGTATCTAAATATAATTTCCAAAACACACGAATTAAAAAAAAAAACCGAGCGAAAAATACCGAGCAAAGCTCGGTCAACCAAGATATCTAAACTGATCACTTTCTTTATATTGATACTTATATTTGCACTAGAAGTTGTTTAGATTTACTATTTTTTTAATTTTAATTCTAATGTAAGTTAGATTCTTATTTTTATTTTTACAATGAAACAATCATGCAACATAGTGAGCACTATGGGCGTAATCTACATTTACTAGGACAGACCCAAGGGTCTCAAAACGCTACCCCTCGCCCCTTTCTGGTTACGCTTATAATTAGTATATACACTTATTTTCAAATTTCATTTATTTCCATTATGCAAAGCGTTTATTAATGCCTTTCACAAGTAATCTTGATTATGAATGTTTCGCTTTCGTCCAGGTTGCGCATGCAAACAGTTGCTTATAAATTGCACAGTTGCACTTCCAATATTTTATGTAGAATTATTGTATTCAAGTATTCAGTACATATGCTAGCATATTATATATTTATTCCCATTGCGCTATAATGCCTCATACAATCAAATTAATACTTACATATTGATAAATTTAAACATTTTAAACAATCAATAAAATGACCTATTTTTAAAATTTCAGTATTTTTAAGCATATTATCAAACATTGTAATCATGGAGTTATTGGTGTAAAGTTGTTTTTAGATGTATGTATACATAACAAGGCTTTATTATTCATGTAGCTTTGAAACTTCGAATGTTGTAATGTGGACACCGTTTTACAATTGTTATTTATTAAAAAATATTTGATAACAAGAATAACTTTAAATGCTTTCTATAATAAACTAATCAAAGCCGTTGATTGATGTAAATAAAAATTAAATGTAAATTATTCTAGTCTCTTTAACTATTGCTTTCTTAATTTTTCTTTGACATTCTTTGATATGTTTTTATTAATGACCTAATAGGATAATAGCAAGAAACGAATCAGTAAACTATAATAACACCGCCATCATAGCCTAGTTAAAAAAAATAACCCAAATGCTACTAGTCCGCGCTGCCTTTCACCAAACTAAAATTTTCAATTGTTTTTTCTTTCTTTGCCAATGGACTCGTACGGTTGTATTTTTGCCAGTGTCAATTAATAAGCTCTGATCTGTTTAAAACTTCTACACTTTTACACAATACGTTGATGTCACATTGTGACATTTTTGGGGGATTTTCACCAGATAACTCAAGGCTCCTAACTGACGAAATAACTTGAGATTCCTTGAGTTCACATGTGCAGACATTAAATACACAAAATCGCTATGCGTCAGCGATCAATTCCCGCCAAAACTCATTTTCAATTGTTAATCTTTACTGCCGGCGGCCACGACACTTTCCTGGCATTTTTTAAGTATTATTAACAATACTCATAGTAATGTGTTCTTATATTTAAAATTATATTTTTAGCGGAAATATAACTCGTATCAATTTCATTTTCCTTGATATCAATATTAAAACACAAGTTTAGAAAAGTTCGTAATTTTCATTCCCATGCAGGGGACAAAACATAATACAATATACTATTTAATTAATACATTTTCTCTAATAATAATAAATGCTATTTTGCAACATTTGCAATGTAAATCTCACGCAAATGGAATCGTTTCTGAACTATGGTTTTTTAACCTTATTTATCAGAATTTAGTACATAATGTCTCGAGTACTCGGTGAATAAATATTAATTATATGACATGTAATTCGGTGTCCTTCATTTTTATGTCTGCTGTTTCCGCATTTACTGTAATGGATTGTCAAAATACATTGGTTATATAATTAAACTCTGTTTTTTTGCATGTATCCGCTCCTAACTGTTGCTTGCGTGGCAAGATCTTTCTGTTTAATCTTCTACTTACAAATTTTAACCTTGTTGCATATTAGCAATTTTGCTTCTCTAACAAATTTTGGCTCAATCTTGCTGCGTGGGTACTTCCCGAGAATTAAGGTGTGGTATAATACGCTATACTGATATAACTTAATCACTTCCACGGTGCTCTTAAACTGTTGACTATGCTCAATGTTTAAAATACATTCTACAAAAACATGTTGAATGGTAGTTATCGTTTTCTATACGAATGTACTAAAAGCTAAAATAAATATAGTCAACTCAGATAATTAATTTGTGGTCACCTACTTTTAGATCTACAAAATAATACAGGTTATAAAAATGAAAAAAAATATATTTAGAATTACTTGTGATAGGACAGCGGAACCAAACTAATTATTTATGCTTGACGAATACCTTTTGTGGCGTGTGGTGTGATAGGACGAGACGGTGGACGCGGCGCTGCGGGACGTGGGACTTCTCTGAGCCTCTGCCCCGTCACCGGAGATGACTTCAACGAGTCTTCCTTGAAACTAAACCAAGATGCCAATAATTTAAAAAAAACAGATTTGAAATATTAACAAAAATAACTTTATAAAAGTGATTAAGTGAATGTGTGGCGGACGAGGAAATATTTTTATATCAAACGCAATGAATTTATTGTACAATCACTCGATTCATTCTCGACAATATCATTCCATATTGATTTCTTATATTTACATAGACACTACACATTGAATAAAACAAATAATACTACATATAATAAAAAATATAATAATAATAATATAATATTAACTATCCGTTTAGTTAATAACTTATTTTTAATTTCCGACTTTGTACTTGCGACACCTTGGTCACCATGGTACCCTGTAGTCTAGATCTACGCAAAACGACCT